TTCAAAAATTGAGCAACATCTTTCTAAGTGGTTATTGGTAGAACTTTTTGGACTTTAACTAAATTTTTTTGCATTAATCTTTCAAAAAATTCAAGTCTATCACATTGAAAATTCATAATTTCTTAGTACTATTAATTTTTATATAAATAAACCAAATGTATATATTAAAACTAATAGTCTTGGATGATATATATCATACATGCAAGGAAAAATTATCTAAATACACAACTTATTTTACCATATTTATAAAAAATTTCTACCATTTGAAAAAAATTACAAAAATCTCTACTCTCTCCTATTCTCGGATACATCACTTTACACGATTGATGTATCGGTTGGATACATCACTTTACGCGATCAATGTATCAGTTGGATACATCACTTTATGCGATCAATGTATCGGTTGGATTCATCACTTTATGCGATGTATCGGGAAAGTTGAGTGATGTATCGAGACATTGAGGGATGTATTCGAAAATGGAACGCGATGTATAATGACGTTTTGGGATGTATCCGAATTACACCAAATTTAATGAAGTTTTGTAATTTGGAAAAGAGTAGAGATATATAGGATGTAATTAACTCTTAACGCTATGAGATTTGTGTAAAACTCTCTTCATTCAATGGGTTCAACAGATCTCAATACCTTTGACACACACGCACACACGCACGCACGCACGCGCACACACGCACACACACACATATATAAAATTGACGGGTTCGGTATTAAGAACTTAAAGGTTAAATCAGTCAACCTTAAATTTATTTTTTCATAATGATGTACTTAGAGGTGTCAAATAGGCGGGTTGAGTTGAAATTGGAGATATTAAAATGGGTTGAAATAAAAATTGGGTTGGGTCTTGACCCGCCCAAGTTTACTTTTGGCTCGTTGGACTCAAATGGGCTTAAAAACGGGTTGGGTCATGACCCGCTTAATCTCAATAATTTTAATATAGGAAAAATTACAGAAATCTCACCTTTTAGTTTACTTATTGCCATTATCCCCTATAAGTTTTACAAATCTCCAAAATCCCTCATTTTCGCGCATCAGATTAGTGTATCTTGCGCATCAGATTAATGTATCAGCGCTTATATTATTGTATCTCACGCATCAGATTAGTGTATCATGTATAAAATGTACATCAGATTAGTGTATCATGTATAAAATGTAATGTATCTTACTTAATGATTAATGTATCTCGCGCATCAGATTAATGTATCAGCGTTTATATTATTGTATCCATTTGAGGGGTTTCTGTAATTATAAACTTTTAAGGGATAGATTGTAATTTTGCCTTAAAAGTACGTGATTTCTGTAATTTGCCCTTTAATATATTGTTATTTAAGTTTTATAACCACAATTTGAATTTTCACTCAAAAAAATTTAAGAAAAGAAGTTACAAATGGATAGATAAATCATAAAAGGTATAAAATAGATAATAATTCATAAATTCAATATAAGAACATACATTATATCAATGCAAATAAAGAGTCTTAAAATGGGTAGAAATTGGAGATTAAATTGGGCTCAATTGAGGAATCTCTTAAAATGAGTTAATGCTTGAATGAGTTGGGATTGAACCCAATTCAAATTATCTTGAATCCAACCCTTAAAATTCTGGACGGATTACCTATAGTTGGGCTCATTTTTGACAACTTAAATGTACTCATCCTCTCAAAATCTTGAATACGAAATCTAATAATAATTATCAACAAGTTATTTATCCTAGTAAACGATTTCCCATTTTAAGGTGTTGCTTACCTCCTTCTCCATAAAGTTCTATAAGAAACTTGCTAGCATAGCTAATCCAATTATTTTAAAATCTCCCCCACCCCCCACTACGAAAGATGAACAATTTTGCGTATGATTATTTTCTACCCTTTTCCTTTCTCTTATGATGATAAATTAAAAAAGAAGGCAAGGATATTGGGTCAGGTTAAAAGAAGGGAATGAATTATTTAAATTTTATTCAAATTAGGGGCATATTTAAATATTTTCATAGACGGGTATATCTGACCCAATAATATAATGAAAGAACATATTTAACTAATAAACGAAAGTAAAGGAGTATTCTGATCCTTAACCCCCCAAAAAGTAGATATTACAAAAGTCATTATTTATCAATAATTTTAAAAGTCATACTAAAAAAAGGAAGAATCATTTCATGAGGAAAATGATTTTTTTTTTAAAAAACAATCTTAGAGTTGGTTATATAGAGGAGTAAAATGACAAATTGAGCATGCCTTAAAGCACTATAAATTAACATCCAATTTTTCACTTAATTCATATACCTTTCTCCTTTACAAATTTCGTTATTTAGCTCTTTTAAATTCGAAAGAAATTAAAGATGTCAAGTAACATAATTCCTACTTACTCTGTACTAGTACTTATTTTGATGTCTGTTTGTTTTGTTTTAGCAAATGCAGACGCTGAATGCGAATATGTGAATTCAAATTTATTGATACCATGCGAAGGGTTCTTAATGAGTGGAAGCGATTCCCCTAATACTGCCTGTTGCAATGGAGCACAAATTATTGACAAACAATTTCAAGAGTCTGATTGCCCTGATCGCGAAGCCATCTGCTTATGTCTCAAGAATGCTGCACAAACTTTACCTATAGATCTTCAGAAAGCAGCAAAGCTCCCTGCCTTATGCAACCTTACCTACATATCTATCGACCCTAACATTGATTGCTCCAAGTAACGTCTTCTTGTGCTATATAACTTTAAGCATCGATCTCATGATTTTACATTTAGTGACATGTTCGATCTTATAACAATTGAGATATATGTCATAACATGTTTAAGACTGTAAGTTGTCAATGTGAATGTTTCACATTAGTGGTGAGGGGATCGATGAGTTGTCTTTTTATCTGACTTGGACAATCCTCACTTCTTGAACATTTTCTTTAACGTACACTCAAAAAAAATATTTTTGATATCTATCTAAAAGTCTATGTATCTTTCTTTCTTTAAGTTTCGTGCCCAATTGAGATTTCTGTATTGTCTAGTACGACGTCCATTTTTTGTCTATAACTTTGAAAAGATACCTCAAATAACGTGTTTTCGTATTTTATTTCCTTAAAACCAACTACTCTAGAATCAGGTTCCTCTAGAGCTTGTGTTACTAGATTTTTATATTTTTGCTTCACCATTTAATTCATCACGAATATATATATCATCATAGATAGTAACAATATATATTGTATACATGATGATTACCATTTTTGTTTCCGTTTTTATATATTCTCTTGTAGGGTTTGAAGGACAAGTACTGGAATCCCATTAATTAGAAGAAGTGATATATATACAAGTTTCCGTTATATGATGATGTAATGTTTTTACTAAAAGGACTCTTATATTATGTTATATTTAAAATTATGTAACATCTATTTTGTGTTACTGGAAAAAAGCCTTGCCTTATACGCACATTAATAAAAAAAATATCTTCCGACCCATATCTGCTCTTTAATACTATGTTTAGACGACTTTTATTTTTACAGACAAGATATATGAATAATCAATTTATTTACTCTTTTCCTTTTCTTATGAATTATGATGATAATTAAATGAAAGTTCCCATATAGTAAGTGATTTTGACTTTTTTGAAATTTATGTATTTTGATGCTTTCTTCCCTGAAGAGAATAGATATGATATTACGATAAGGAAGCAAATATTCCAAAAGAAATAAATCATAAAGTGTTGTCGATGAGAGATTTAAAATTTTAAAAAGTAATTATACACAGGCGCGTTTTGTATAAACACAGTCAGCTTACCTAGTTGAAGATGCCACATCAACACAAAATGCATAAAGACACATCGTCCCATTGTTGTTGGCTTATAAAATAGGTTTATATATATAGTCTTCCACGAATGTTATGTCTATACCTGAGTGTACCAAGAGACTCTATTCCCAGAGGCTCCTTAGTTTCAAGGCAAATGACGTTAAGACTACAGATAGTAGAAACGGTTTGATAGCTTCTATTATAAAATTAAATTTTAAATGGATTATCTTCCTACCAAATGAGATATTTAGGGGAAGAAGAGACACCAACAACAATGGAGAACGAAAAAGAAAAATGTAGAGGAGCAGAGGAGAAAGAGAGGGAATAATTTAGGATTAAGGGCAAAATAAAATGGGTCAGGTTAGGTGGGTGGATCACTAAATGGTTTAAATGGTATTTTAAAAAAAAAATGGTTTGTTATATAAACAATTAATATCAACAAATTTTAATTAAAAAAGCAATTAAATAGATTGAGTGACTTTATGAGAAAAGAGTGGATAGTTGAGTGACTTTTGAGTTAAAATTCAAAATTGAGTGACTTTCTGAGAGAGAAGTGCATAGTTGAGTGACTTTTGAGTTAAAATTGAAAGTTGAGCGACTTTTTGAGAGAAGAATGCATAGTTGAGTGACCATCTGAGGTATTAACTCCATGAATTATCGGTGTATATGAATTGTTACATGGAAGTACTACTCCATGATTCATTCCTTGCATTCTTCTCAGCATTTCAATAGACGTTATGAATAATGGATGCAGGACAAATCAATGAATTGTAATAGTAAGAAATGCAAGGGAGATGGAACTCGTGCAGATAGTTCATAAAGTTAAAAAATGCGATGTAATGATAGTTCACTCAGGCGACAAGCTTCTGTTGTTGCTGGACTCGGTATCTTGAACCCGCACAGCTCTTCAAGATTGGAAAGCCTAGAGAGACCTTGTGGTAAGCATGACAAGGATGGACAGCTTCCAACATCAAGAATTGCCAATCTTGGAAGTGTTGTAATTGATGTTGGTAGTTTTTTTAGTTCCTTGCATTCTCTAAGGACTAGTATTTGGAGGCCCCATAACTTCCTTAGAATCTCGTCCAAATTTGCAACATTTCTCAGATTTAAATAAGCTAGTCTCTTTAGTGATGTGATACATTGCCATAAATCCATTAAACAGATATTCTCTAGCTTGACACATGACAAGTCCAAGACCCTGAGAGTCTTGATTTCAGCCAGAGCAATTTTCCTGTTGAAACCGATGTAATTTGTTGTAGTGAGAAGAAGTGCTCTTAGCTTTGAGTTCCCATATAAGGACTGAATAGTTGTTTTCCCCCAAGTGCCTAGAGTTAACTGTGGCTATGTGCCTGCCTCGATTGAAGCTACAAAATTTCTCGTCTTCTACAACGAGAATTGTCATGTCCCTAACCATGTCATGCATCTTGCAACTATAAACTTTGCCATCAAAGCTTCTTCTTTGGACAACTTCAACCAAGCACCGACTTACAAGTTCAGACAAATGACTAAAAGCTACATCTGTTGAGTTTCTGTGCCATCGCCACGGACTAATTAATCCTTCCCCTACCCACCAACGAACCAATTGTTCCACCTCAATTTCATGGTCATCTGGATAGATTGAGAAGCATAGCATACACTGCTTTAGATGAGCAGGAAGCTCATCATAGCTTAGTTGCCAAGAAGCCATTGCAGAGATATTTCTTTCACTATCCGATACCAATTTCTCTCGAAAGTTTTCACATATCCTTGTCCACTCCCCGAGTGAATGTGGTTTTGATGATAACATCCCACCTGTGGTCTTGATGGCTAGAGGAAGACCATGACATTTGTGCACGATCTCTCTTCCAACTTCTTCCAATTGAGTATTGCACTTTCCTTTAGTTGACAAAAATGCAAATTTACTGAACAATGACCAACTCTATTCACCATCGAGCAATCTTGGTCGATGAATTCTTGATTCTGTAGCTCCCATACTCACTTCTTGATGTAATTATAATACAACAATTGTGCTCTACAAACTTGGGTAATCCCCTTGATATTCTATCCCACCATCCATCATCAATGCTCCATACTGAATCCAAGACAATTAAGAATGACTTATGTGAAAGTGCTTCAAGAATTCTGTTAAGCAAGTCTCCTTTGTCAATTCCGCTATCATCTGCATTCAGTTGTTTCAAAATACCCTTCATGATGAGAAGCTCATCATAAGTTTGAGATACAGAAACCCAAACTTTCTTCTGAAATCTCACATTCACTTGTCTGTCATGGTACACCTTTTGCGCGATTGTGGTTTTACCCAAACTGCCCATACCTACAATGCCAACGCGATGTAATGAATTGTAATAGTAAGAAATGCGAGGGAGATGGAAATATTCTGGAAAATGTGTAGCTGTGGAAATCAAGGGAATTGCTGAAATCCCAATTTTTCTTCATACATAAGCATTGCTCTGTTGTACCTTATACACCTCATTCAAGAGAAAAATTGTCACAATCATATTAAGGTCATAGATTAATTTCCTTTTATTGGCGAGGCAGAACAAGATCATCTTTTTCTCTAAGCAACCCATAGAGAGATGTTGTTAATTTAATGAAAGGAGGGAATCACATTAAAAAAATAATTGAACAAATATGTGATAACTATGGAAAGACATAAATAGAGGGCTGAAGCCATTGGGTTTTTTTTAGCAGACACCTAGCATATACATCCCAAGGGAAAAAAGTAATTTCAAATGACACAAACAAAGTATGCCTGACCTAGATAAATTCATATGTAAGCTCATCAACGGTTACAATAATTCGAAAACAACACAAATAAATATCACATAAAAGAACAACGTAGGAACATCTCATCTTAAGTAGATACTGTCTAAGAAGCTAAGTCAGATAATAACTACGCTCCAAAACAAAGTGGTTGATATTGAAGAACCTAATTGTTTGCAGCTTTACTCTTGCTAAGAGAAGCTGACTCAGGTGTACACGTGCGAAAAATAATATCAATTTATCTAACACATTCTGCTCCAATGAAATTCACAACAAACTACACTTCAATGTGTATTTAGAATAATTTTTTATTTTTTTGAAAACTGAAAGTGAAGAACAACCTGGCGCAAGATGTATTGGCTACTGTAGGAGGGAAGCCATATTTAACATTATAACAATGGATATGTAATTAAAATCATAAACACCATATATTCTAAGTACTTAACTTATAAGTTTAGGCGTCTAACCTCTTTTTGTAACGGAAGATGACTCTCCTATCGGCAGAGTTCTTTGTCTAGGTAATTCAAAACCAACTTCAGAATAATTTGTCTAGGTAATTCAAAACCAACTTCAGAATAATGCTTCTCTACTAAAAGTTCTGATCTCATGATTTATATATGGCCAAAATATCACCTCCCCAATGTACTGAATAAGTCTGCTACATTAAGAAAAATGTTTGAAGATGTATGCCTGCTTTCATGTCCCATTAACGGGCAGCTCTTCACATTCCCTCTTATTTCCTTGGGCCAGTTCATCCTTAAGGCGATCAATCTCAGCTCTGAGATATTCTTGCTCAATAGCATACTTAACATATGAGCTTGACACAGCCACTAATTCCTCATCCTTAGCTGTCAAGGCTGCTGGCATGCACTGCATTTGGGTATTGGACCCCCTCGGAGGAACTGATAATGTGGTAGGATCAACAGTTTGTACTGATGGCGCCAGTATCTCATTGCTATTGCCTTAGTTCGTATGATCTTCTGAACATATATATTATTGTCACCCATTATTCACCGTTTTTTCTTCTCCAAGCTTCAATATCTATCCTATTCCATTTAGACCGACTTCAGCACCATATTATCTAAATAATTACACAGAGGACCTATGCTTCACCAAGGACCTAAAGACAAAATCACAAGAAAACATTGGGAGTTCAGTTAAAACAACAATCAATATATCAGAGATGATCTATCCAGGAAAAGAGGTTGGTTACATACTCTATATCAGTTTGTCATCTGCAGCACCCTCAAAAGCATTTTCAAATGCATTAACGGCAATACCCATTTTTTTCTTTTCAACCAAGTTGCACAGAGGTTTTATTAAACCAACAGCAAATACAGACTTAAGATTTGCAGTTTTATCAGTAATGTAGAAATCAATGTAAGACAAGTCGATTTGCATTTCTATCAGTTGGTTATCAGCAGTCACACTTCTATACATCAATATATTTTGGAAAACATGGAAAACATTTTCCAAAACAAGCAATCGCTATTTAATACGTGTTCTACAATCCTTGAATAAATGTCAAGTACTCTTATGCTATAAGTAAGCAAGAAACTGATATCAATAATCTTGAAAACATACTTTTGCCCACTGGCTGTTCGCACAAGTAATATTAATTTCTATAAGCACGCAGACCATTGTTTCCACTTAGTCCTCTATCTAGCAAGGTGAATAGGCGATTCAGGACGTGTTCTTTGTCTCCCTAGGTTGCATATATATTCGACTACATAAGTCCAATTATAATAATAACGATATGCATGTCTGACGCAATTAGACGATTGAAATAAATAAATAAACAAAAACAAATCCATTATCAAGTGGGGAACTATTTTAGCACATTAAAGGAAGGATGATGGGTGAACCAAACTATCTTACCTCCGGTATGTGAATCCTCTTTTTGTCATATGTTACGTTGTACATATTTAGAATTGTTCCGATGATAGGGGTTATTCCTGAAGTAGAGCTATATTTCCTAAAACATCAATTGAAGCATATATCAAATACAACCGTAAGTTGGATAGGAAGAAATATGTAAATGGGAAATTTAAACATCGCCTTTACTTGAGGAGTTTCACCGGAAGAACATTCACCGCATGGAAGGCATCAATAACCTCACTATGTCGTACATTATTATATTTGAAGTCTTCTACACCACAAACTGGCAGACATAATATCTATAGCATCAGAAAGGTAAACGAAAGTGTGATGCATCAATAACCTCTCCGTCATCATTTGCATCGTCACGAAGGGCCCTGATTACTGGTTTCACCTAACAATGGAATATTTTTCAGTTGGTGGAATAACAAGTCCAACAATCCTATCCAGGCATACATCACAAAGATCCTAACTATCTTTGTGCCCCCCAACCTCCCGACCTCGAGGAGCTATGCCCCAAGGCGATCCGCCACCCCCTGGCCTCGAGGAGTCGTTCCCCGAGGACCCCCGACCTTGAGGGATCGTGCCTCGAG